GAAGGAGCTTTCCAGGGGTCAGTTGGAGAGCACAAGTTCCCAGAGGGAAGGCTCCATTCTTATGATTCAATTGAGAGATACTCTGAATGGTCTTCATGGAATACTGGGCAGATGGAAGTTGTGAATGAGCAAGGCTGTGGTTCCTGGGCCCCAGTTTTCCATCTTGTAGGAGATGAGCCAGACACCAGACCACACCATGGGTGCCTCTGGGGCTGTGGACCAGGAAGGCTTCCTGGAGGAGGTAACTTGGGGTTGGTGGGGGCCTAGTCAATGAGGAGCTCTGGTAGCATAGTGGCTAAAGCACTTGACTGCTAACCAGAAGGCTGGCGGTTCAAACCCACCAGCCACTCCTCGGAAGGAAGGTTGGGCAATCCTACTTCCGTAGTGATACTGCCTCGGAAACCCAAGGAGGGGTCGCTATGAGTCGGGGCCAACTCGACGGCACATAACAACAACAACAACAAGTCAATGAGGAGGGGAAAGGTAAGAGCTGAAGCAGGGAGGCTGACCACAACGTCAGGATGAGCTGATACAGGGACTGGCAGCTGCTCAGGGAGTGAGAAGACTCAGACTTTGTCTCTGGGACATCCTAACTGGAGAATGTGTGTGAAGACCCAAAGGGCAGAGCTGGGTCTGCACATCTAAAGAGGATGGGTCCTTGGCAGTGAAAGCAGGGTTTGCTGTTTGGTCAGAGGCTGTGTGGAAGGAAGGGGTGTGGCCACTTAAATGTGGAGCGGAATGTCAGGGTGCCCTCAGAGGCCCAGCATAGAGATCTGTCCTCTGCGTAGCAGGGACTCTGCCAACGAAGGCCAGGGGAGGCTTTTGGTCCTGGGCCCTGTGGGTCAACTGAGGCCCAGGAGCAGACCAAGAGGGTCTGAAGTGGTGGCGAGAATTCTCTTAAGCAAGAAGTGTTTTGTGGGTGAGACCAAGGACAGGTTCCTCCCAGCCTGAAGGGGAGGCTGTGGAGTGTACCTACCCGTGTGTGGTGAGGGTGACTATGAGCTGTAGGGTGTTTATATGGGTCCCAGTAGATGTCTGAGAGAGTTGGAAACTCTCAGTGACCAGGACCACCCCTCCCTCCACTCTTAGACTATGACCCACAGGATGATGGGGGGCAGGGGATTGGGGAGTAGAGACCAGGCAAAGGACCTATGGGATCCAAAGCCTAAGATTCTCCCTGAGAGGAGCCAGGGCCTCTTGGGGAACATCCCAGACTATCCCCTAAAGCTTTTGGTTGGGTGCCCCTGGAGCTGGACTCAGCTCCTCTGTGTGGTTAGGTCTGGGGGTGTGGCCTCCAACTCTGATTTTCCCAGTTGTCCCTCCCTGTGTGTTCCATTTTCCTGGCAGCTGTGGTGGGAAGATCCAAGTGGGGGTTGTGTGGGTGAGTGACCTGAGCTCTAGCCTGGCTTTTCTCTGACTTGAGACTCTGGGTCCCAGTCAATGCTTTCTGAGCTTTACTTTCCCTACCACAATGGGTCCCCTTGAGTGGTTGTCACTGTGGGGAAATGGCATAATGCACCTAAATGTTCTTGGGGATTGAAGGCCCCCATGGCCCTTTTCAAAGCTCTTAAGCATGATCTGGCCTGTCAGACCCAATAGCCTGGGGTTTGGTGACCCTTCTGATGAACTAGACTGGGGACTTTTTGGACTGCAAAACAGGCCCCAGCAGGTGGGGCTGACTTTGACAAGCAGAGGCAGGGATTAGGGGAAGGCTGGGTCCTGGAAGAATGGGAGAGCCTGAAGCACCTTGTGGAGTGGGGGAGAATGGAGTATGGGTGGTTGAAGCATGAGTCAGGATGGCGTCGAAAAAGGCCGGTGGGGGCCAGAGGGCAGGGGCCCCTAATGCCAGGCTGAAGACCATGGGGGCAGATAAGGATTCTGAGGATGTTTCAGAAAGATCACTCTGGTAGCTGGTGAAAGGATGGACTGGAGGGGGTGAGGACAGGGGTTGGAGACCAGTGAGGTGAGTGACAGTGGAGTCTAAAATGGAGGGACTATGGTGGTGGGATGGGTCTCGGGGTTTGGGGAACTTCTGCCTGGCCGCTAGCATCCCACCTAGAGAGGGCTTGATGCAGCCTTCATGGGACTTTGCAGGATGATCAGGAAGCAGGCAGGAGCAGCTTTGGTCTCCGCTTCTCTGATGGGAAAAGCAACCATCACACTGGGCAGCCTCTGGCTTGGTTTCCTTCCTGGTCTTCAGTGCCAGGCCCTCTGGGCTCATTCCACCCAGCTGGCAGCTCCACAGAGATGGGTGAATACTAATCATGCAGGAAGTGGTGAGCTTGTGGCTGCCTTGGCTGGTTCCAGGCAGCCTGAGAGGCACAAAGTTCTTTGTTCTTCTTTCACGGGTCTCGTTTGCTGAGTACTTACTATGTGCAGTGTCAGGTGCTGGGTGCAAGGCCTTCCTTTATCCTCACAAGAACCCCATGAGGAGGTGCCAATATTATCTGCACTTTACAGATAAGGAAAACTGAGGCTCCTCCAATGACTTGTCAAAGGTCACAGCTGTCAAGTGGCTGGTTTTGGATTCAAGCCCAAAGCTGTCTATCCACAATGATGACCTCTTGTTATCACTACCATGGAGGAACCTACTGTGGTGGGGAGCTGCGGTGTTCAGAAAGCCTGTACCAGTGCCCAAGGCTGAGGGAGCACAGGAGGGCACTGGGCCCAGGTCACATAGGGACTCCCTAGGACCTGAGGAGGCTCCACAGGGGCTTCTGGCTGAAAAGCAGCAATGGCTCCCACCTGGGCCAGACCTTAGCCTCCTGAAAACAGGCACAGCTCCCAACCGAGCAGCCCAGTTGCTCCCCAACACCCTGCTCTTCCTGAGGAGAAGTCATACCACATGCCCAGGAGCCTGAGGCATCCTGGGCTCTACCTCTCTCATTCCGAGTCAGCCCTTCTCCCCTCATCCATTGCCCCCAGACCTCTCTCCACTACTGTCCTGCTTGGGGACTTTGGGAACCACAGACCCTCCCAGAAAAGTGAGCAAAGCCAGCTAGTGAGAAAAAACATATATCCAGATGTGGAACACATACACAGAAAGAAAAGGGTTTTGTTTTTTAACTCAAGAAAGGGCTTTTATTGTTTTTAACTCACTTCCTGAGAAGTTAATTTTTAAAACACTCTTGCAGAGTTTGTTCACTTGTGCTACACTCAGAAACAATGCTGCCAAGCAAAACCCCAGCACTGGGGAGAGCACCCTGTCTGGGTTCTGATTAGAGCATGAAGCCTGAACTTGGGCTGTTTCACCCACATCCACCCCTGAGCTCTTCAAGGGGCAGCCCCAATCCACAGAAACTTCCACGTGTCAGAAAAAGATGCCCAAGGAAAACTTACTGATCTGTGATTGGTTTCAAACTCGCTTCCCTTTAACTCCATAAAAGTGTTATTAAAAACAGTACCGAATTATTTTTAAGCCCTGGGTTACGCTGCCTTTGCCATAGTGCAGAGGAGCGGGAAGAAATGTGGACCCATTGACAATGGGCCGTGTTCTGCTCATAGCCTTAAATAGACATAGAAACTATATTACAGATGCATGTACCAGTGCAAGACATGCGAGTGTGCTGTGTGCAACAGATGGGCACGCACATGCATGTGTGCGTGGAGGCGCGACGTACACCCACAGGCACAGAGACGCGGCAGGACTTGGTAGGGAAAGATCTGGCCTGGGGCATTTTCCTGCCCAGCCTCCCCTCCCCTCTCCAAACTTAAAACTCAGGCAGGTGCAGGCAGCTGAAATCCTTTTGTTTGGCCCATGTATCAGGGGAGGTACTGAGTCTTATTCTCTTTCCCTTTGGGGGTCAATCTCTATGAGCGTTTGGTCAGTAAACACCAAGCCAGACAGGCGCTGATCCCAGAGAGAGGACAAAGTCAGTTTTAGAATGGCTGTGTCTACACACATGCTTGAGTGTTTCAGCTTTGAGCAGGCTGAACAGTGACCATCTCCGGAAGTGAGGCTTTGGTAGGGGAGGCCCACCTCTCCATGGCCAGTGTGCACACCACTCCAGGTTCCCACTTCCAGTGCCACCCCCAACCTGGGCACTTTGTCCTGGTAGGAATGTGTGGGCAGTTTCTAGGGCCAGACAGGTAGGCCAGTGTAGGATCAAAGACTGAATTCCAGTTATTTCAGGTTGCCAGTCCACGGACCTGGGCCAAGGTCCGCCCCTGGTGTCTCTTCTGTAGCCATGACTCTGGAGAACCATGAGGGGAGGGGGTAGGGAAGGTGTTGCGCCCTTGATTCAGGCCTCTGCTCAGAGCTTGATGTAGTTCAGCCCATTCTCTGGATGGTGCCAAGTGCAAAACAGTCCAGGAAGTTCAGTCCAGTCCACTTGGCTGCCAAATATGGGTGGGGTGTACTAGGAGCCACCCAGAGCTGTAGGAAATCTCATTAGATGTTCCCAAGCAAGGCTTGGTCACTCAGCAAAACCAAAAGATAACAAAAACGGAATCTGAATTCTCCAATACTGGTCCCCTCCACAATGCGGCTTGGGAATAGCCTTCGAGGGTCAGATCCTCCAGACCAGCAAAGAGCTCTGGCACTGTCACCCTCAGGTGGGCAGGTGACACCTCTCTGTGTGTGACAGCTGAAAGAGGCCCACCTGGCCCCCAGTGGGAGGTCTGCAGTTGCGCTAAGGCAGGCTTCCATCTGCCATCTTGGTTTCTAGCCTCTTGCCCCTGGGCCTTGTCAACCAGCCAGATGGGGTTTCTGAAGCATCACGGGCATCAAGCATCCCCTCGAGAGCCAGGATGAGGACAAAGGCCTTGTGGGAGCCCTGCCTGACCACGCCATGCCCTCAAAACCACAGGTAACACACGTTCTAATCCTGTCCCTGGACACGCGCGTGGAGGTCATGCAGCACGACAGGGGGCGGGGGGCTGGGAGAGGGGCACAGACCCTAGCCCGCTGCCTGCAGAGGCGGCTGTCGGTGTGGGGGCGGTGGGCCTTTGGAGGCGCAGGATGAGCGTGCTGCCGGGCGGCCCTGGGAGCATGCAGGGGCTCAGGATGCAGCCTCGTCTTCTTGGACGCCAGGGAGTTCCGGGTTCTTCCCCCCTTCGCCATACCCTTCTTTCCTGTTCAGGAGACACCAGAGCAGAGGGACCTCAAGGGTCAGAACACACATTCAGGGAGACACACCTGCCTGCTCGATGTCTCTCACGCACACTCACATAGTGTTTCATCCTGCATGCTCTCAAATCCACTCTCACTCTTTCTCCCACACTCAGCCCTCAGTCTCACCCCTGCATCATGGCAGTCTCGCCTCGCAGGTCTCTCTGCCCCCAGTCTTCTCTCACAGCCCTTCCATGTCCTCCTATTGCTTCCAAGATGAAGCGTAAACTTCCAGTCTGGCCTGTGGAGCCCCATCTGATCTGACCCAGCTGACTTCTTGCCTCCTTGGAGTATCAGCTGGTCACAGGCCCTCCATGTTGGCTTAGATCAGCCCTCAGCTAGCCCCCAGTGGTCTTGAGCAGAGGGGCTTTTATTTTTCATTTTCTTTGCTTTGTTCATAGCCCAGAGTCTACCAGTCTTGGCATTCTGTCACATACTCAATAGATTCCTGTTTCTGATTTTTATCCCTACTACCTCTCTTTTGAAAATGACCAATGAATGGGTTTTGAAAAGGGCCTTTAAAAAGGACCAATCCCATTTAACTCTACTATAGCATTTTGGCAATTGTACTCAAGTGTAAAAACCAGAGTCTATCCAGGACAAACGCTGGAACTCCACAATGATGTAAAGCCTGCTTTTCACAATTAAACTGGGGATGCAGCACTATAGACCTCTATAGCTGGGAAGTAGTAAGCCCAATCTTCTTTCAGTTCAGATAGGGAAACCAGCCTGCATGTACCTAAACCTGTAACTGGCTTGTCACACCACTAGGGGGCCCTAAGTCTTAGGCACTGAGCTAGAGTGACCAGATGTCCAGGTTGCTGGGCATGCAGTCTTGGTTTATGCCTATTGTCCTGGCATAATTATTAATAGCTTCCCTGTGACACTGATGAGGATGATGGAAAAAATTGGGAATGGGTAATGGTGGCATTTGAACAACATGATGAACATAACGTTACTGAACTGTCCATGTGAAGATTATAGAAATGGAAAATGTTTTGTTACCTGTATCTTTACCACAATAAGAAAAAAAAAAAAAAGTGGCCCCATTTAGATGCTAAATTATATATGATCCCCTTATGCTGAGTCCAATTTCAGCATCAGACACATGCTGACCCAGATGAGCCCGGGGACCCTGTCCCTCAGTCACCTCACTGAAAAGATGAGTAATCCACAGCTCAGGCATCACCAGGGTTTCTCCTAGGCAACGCCCACCCCAGATTGGACAGGAAGTTTGTTGTGAGGAGGGAGAGAGGGTGGTATGTGGACAATCCTTAGCACAAGCAACGCCAACATGGCCACTAAGATGAGCTCCTCAGAGGTGTCGGGTCCTAACACCCGGGCCCCTGGACAGGCACACATGAAATGCATTTCTTGAGAGGTCAAGGTACCTGGGCAATGTCCCATGCTCACCCCTCTAGGAGAATACACCTCCACTGCAAAGTAGGCTGGGAGGCCCAATTCCAGCCAACCCACTGCAGCTCCCCTTATGGGTCAAAGGAAGGTGATGGACATCCCAGGACCACATTCTGATCCAGAACCCCTCATAGTTTTCTCTCTGCAGTTCCGTCAAACTCCAGCAGGCCTGTTGGCATCCCAATCTGATTTTTATTTTAGTGGAAGGAGGTAAAAAAAAAAAAACTAGACAAGGCTCACAGAGGGTTGGGAAATGTTTTCCTGGCCTCTCCTAGGAGGTGGTGAACCCACATGCCTGGTTCACAGCAGATACTCAACAACTAAGGATTCTTAACCCTTGACCCAGTCAGCAAGTCTGTCCACACTTAGCTGCCAGACAAGTGTTGACAAAGCACTGACTGGGCATGCAGTCTCAGCAATGGTAGAGGTAGCATGGAACCCTCAGGAAAGCAGCACGCCCCCAGGGCTGGGGAAAAGCAGCAGAAGTGCCCCGCCCCCCCATGAACCAGCCATCTGCAAGGAGCAGACATGAGGCCTGTCTGCAAACCTCTCTCTCCCAGGCTGCCAAAGGCTGAGAGAGCAGCAGATCTAAGGCCTCAGAGAGGTGGGCTGGGACCCAGTGGGGGGCTTTCCTGCCTCATCGAATGACTGGGTGAGCTTCTCATCCCCGGAAGTGTGTGAGTGAGGGATGCAGGACAGGAGACTGGAACAAAAGTTTAACCAAAAAGGTCACTTCTAACTTTAACTAGCCTTGAGGATAGAATGTGCCAACGGGGCCCTACTCTGACACTTGGCCAAGTCCCCAGGCTCTGGGCTCAGCCTGCACAGCCTACTGACAGTGAGAATGGGGAGAAGTGTTACAATCCCCCCCACCCCCACTCCAGGGAGCACCCTCGTGCAGGCCTCAGCCTGCCAGTACTTACGTCACTAAGTTTCCTGGAGCAGACATGGACCGCTCTTCCCTCCGCGCTTGGGGCTCAAACGGGTTCCCAAAGGAACGCTTTCTTAGCATGGACTTAACCAGGATCTGGGGAGGACACTTCAGCATGAGAAACACGGGCCTACCGTCCCCCAGGCTTACCAGGCAGCTCATAGCCTCTGCTCTGACTCCCTGAGAGGGCTGCTGGGCGAGCTCCGCTGAATGTCCCATTTAAATTGGCAGAGAAAGGAAGGGAGAACATTCCAAGCGGGAGAAAGAGCATGGGCAAGAGCACAAAGGGTGATGTTCAGGGTGTCCTTCAGGAAGGGCAAGGAGCCCAGTGCAACCGGGCATGGGGAGCAGGGTGGTTAGGACCAAACCAGGAAGGATCTCGACTGCCAGGCTAAAAGCAGGGGATTTATCCTAAGGGGAGGGACATGACTGAAAGTACATCCTAGTGACAGTGGCAGGATGAGTGAGAAGGGGCTGGGAAAGGCAGCACAGAGAGCAAACTGCCACAGCAGCCCAGGAAGAAATGTTCAGGGGCAGCGAAGCCCAAGGCACTACACTAGGGTGACCAGATGTCCAGCTGCCTGGCACACTCCTAAGTTTACACACTGCGGCTCTCTGATTCTGTCCTCCTCTCCCAGCAAGGACAATTCCATACCCCTGCCCATATATACACAAACTCACACACACATGCATTGTATCATGGGGGCATTCATTTGTTCTTTCATTCATTCTCTCAGTCAACAACTATTAAGTGCCTACCATCTGCCAGACGCTATTCTAGGCACTGGGGCTACATTGGTGAATAAGTGAGGCTTTGCCCTCATGGAGCTTATATTCTAAATGGGGGACAGGCAATAAACAAGACAAATCAGTAAAACAGATCATAGTTAGTGGTAGGGGCTAAGGAGATGAAAATAAAACAAGGAAGGGAGATAGGGCATGACAAAGGGAAGGTTAAAATGTTAGCCAAGGGCCCAGGGAAGACTCTCTGAGAAGGCAACTTAGGAGTAAAGACCTGAGGGAAGGAGGAAGGGATATCAGAGAAGGAGCATCCTGGCAGAGGGAAGAGAAGTTCAAAGTTTCTGTGACAGCAACTTCCATGTAGTTGGAGCCACATAGTTGGAGCTGAGCAAATGAAGGGAGTAGTAGAGGATGAGGTCAGCGGGGAAATGTGAAGACAGGGTGTGTAGGGCCTTGCCAGGCAGTCTTGCTGGAGATTTTCCTCTCAGTGAGATGGCAGCCTGATAGAGCAGGATCAAAGCTGACAAGGGCCATGCTGCTAGAACCACCTGGCTGATGTGAGCATTAACTATAGTGGGGGAAGGGTAGGAGCAGGAGGACAACTTGGAGGAATATTATAATGGTCCAGGGGAAAGACAATGGTGGGTAAGTCTAGAGTGGTAGCAATGGGGACCCCATGGGGGTTGACAGAACCCAGGGTCCCTCACAGAATTAAGTAAGCAAAAAACCAAACCCCCTGCCATCAAGTCAATTTCAACTTATGGTAACCCTATAGGACAGAGTAGAACTGCCCCATAAGGTTTCCAAGGCAATAATCTTTAACGGAGCAGACTGCCACATCTTTCTCCCAAGGAGCCCTCCATCCACCCACAGGGTCCAACACAGAGCAAGCGTCAGGCGATGCACACCTCCTCAGGGCCCACATCTGCTGGGACACGGGAGCCTGCACCCTCACTGTCTTACCACTGTGGTCCAGCTGGGAATAAGCTTGACTGAGTTTTTCACCTCCTCCTCAGTCACCTCCACCACGCTGCAGTGTTCTTCCTCTGAGGGAAGGGGTTCCTCCCCATTCTTGGTCACCCAGGGGTGCAACTACAGAGACCACGAGGGGAGGGAGGGGTCAGGACCATAGGTAGACAGACACCCAATCAGCAAGGGACCCAGGGCATGCCATCAGCAATTGTCCCTGAGAAGGAGTCCAAAGCCTACAAACCCCAAACCCAAACCTAATACACGTATGTCCTAGTACAGAAAGGGAAAGTGAGGCCTGTTTCCCGTGTACTGGTTTGGTCCAACCCAGCCCAGCCCAGCTCAGCCCGGCCCAAGACCTCTCGTTTCCCAACCTTGATGTCTGACACCCCAATCCTTGTTTCGGGATTCTTGTCTAGCATCTTCAAGATTAGGTCCTTGAGCTCTTCACTGACCTTTGGCCTAAAGAGGAAGGAGGGAAATGAGGGCAAGACAGCAATGAGGGCCCCTCCCTTCTCACCTCTCCATCTCCACCTGCTCCGGGGAAGGATACTCCAGGAGCTGACCAATGTCCCCTGAATAGCACACACTAGGGCAGACACACAAACCCCCGGGTCTTGGATGGGAAAATGGGGTTCCAGGGAGCAGGAGGGATACCCCAAGGCCATGAGGGGAGAACTTTTAGAAAAAATACATAGAAATCCTTCTTTCTTGAGTAGGAAGTTATCTCCCTCAGGGGGCAGAGATCACAAACACAAACCGAGTTCCATGTGTGTTGGACACCCCTTGGGGTGGCAGATGGTGAAGACAGTCGAGGAGGTGCTTTATGGGATACCAAAGGCTTTCCTCCCACTCCATATGTCATCCTTTCCTCTACTTCAAAGGTGGCCAAGAAAGATTCTCTCTCATTTGACAGTGGAGGAAACTGAGGTCCAGAGAGGTCAGCTGGTTGGCATACTGCCGCCCAGAAGAGTGTGGATCTTGTTTAGCATATTCAGGATTCCAGAAGAAGCTTTCCCTCCTTTCTCCCTTCCTTCCCTCTCTCCAGTTTCTCCCTTCCTCCTTTCTTTCCTCCTTCCTTCTTTCCAGACTTCCAGGAACAAGAGGAGAGCAGGACTCAGCTCCACATCAAGCCTGGATTGTCTCTGCCCAAACTCCAGTCTTTGCTATCAACGTTCTTGGCAATCCACCCTGCCAAGCCTCAGAAGGCACTCACTCTTACAACAGTTGACCTTGGGTTGCCTCTGCTGTCCTAGATGCTGGGGAGAAAGATATCTCTAGCAGGGGGTACACCAGAAGGAAAGGCAGGAAATTACAGGATAAGCAGGAAACGGACAGAGTCCAGTTGGCTAACACTTAGGGGAAGGGCGTGATGTGGGGCCAGATCAGCACAGGCTAAAACACAGAGGTCCTTGGGTGCCAGCGACAGAGCACTGAGCTTTGCCTGTGGGCCTTGGGAAGCCTTGGAAACTCTTTAAGCAGGAGATATGGTCAGATTTGTTGTGCTTTATCAGGGTCACCTTGGCCTAACTGGAGTGGCTGTGCTGGAAGGAAGCCAGCAGCAAAGAGACCACAGGGGAGGTGGCTGGGTAAGTCTGGAGAAAAGGGCCCAGGTCTGAACTAGGCAGGGTGGGTAGGTGGCGATGGAGACAAGAGATATATAGGAGGTAGACTCAGAAGGTCTTGGGGACCAGACAGAAAGTAGGTGTGAGGGGTCGGGAGTCATGGAGGGCAATGCCCAGGTTGGTTTCTGACCTGCCCTATGCACTCAAGCAGAAGACAGAAGACTCTAAAAGATCGGGAGGAGACGGGGGCTCAGGCTGACTACCACAGCAGGCAAAACCCTGGTCAGAAAAACCATGGGTGAGCAGGAATGCCTCCCAGGAAGCCCCGCCAGACCCAGAGACCTCAGTCACAATGGGGGAGAAGGGAAGGAGAGGTAATGGCTTTGAATCCACTAACTTGGAAAGCCTCCAGTTTTCTGTTTATTAAATGAGAGAACAGACTGGCATCTTAGACACCCCCCATATGGGGAAGGTGGAGGTTCCCCTTCAGTACAGGGGCTGCGTGGGGTTACTGCCATTGGCCACATGAAGTCCCATAGTTAGGAGGGAATGTGTGGCCTGGGTAATCCCTGCCCAACTCTGGCCTCAGAGTTCTAATGTATACAATGAGGTCTGACCCAGACGTCTTGGAGACCCTCACATCTACAGTCCCCTATCCATCTGTTCCATCCCGCCCCCCAGAGAACTCCCACCTCCCGATCTGTAGGCTGCGTGAGGCCCTTAAGGGGCAGAAGCTCTGCTAATACTCAGATATCCCTCCCTGGGGTAGGTGGGAGTCCCCTTGGTGGACAACTCACTCCTCAGGAAACACCACAGCTGCATTCTTGATCTTCCTGTGCAGGGCCAGAATGTAGTCATCGATAAATGGGCACTGTGAGTAGAAAGGCAACAAGGGATACAGGTCAAGGGCCTCAACCTGCACTGGGGGACCAGCCCCCATCCCTTGGTAGGGCCAAGGGTAGGTGACAACTCTGGGCTTCCTTAAAGTGGAAAGGACCTTATCTAACTTCAAGACCTGGCCCATAGTAGATAGATACTGAGCAATCCTATTGAATGAATGAGTTGCTGAGGGCGCTATAAGGCTGGTATACCAGTTGGCCTTATAGCTGTCAACAGCAAGGCCTCTACTCTCAGGGTCCACAGCCTGGGAGTGTGTTTACTGAGAGTCCCTCCTGCTCCCTAACACCCCAGAACCAGAGTAGGAACACTTGTGGACAGAGATCTTGGCCAAGTCAATTTTGGTTGTCTTCAAAACCCAGCCTGACCCAGAGTAGGGGCCAAGGACAAATTGTTGAATGAGTGAATGAATGAATGGCATCAAGGGAAAGAAGGACAGGGAACATTCTAGCTGGAGATGTGGCAACACCATCATCGACATTTCCCCTTTGGCTGGCTACTGTTCTGGGATTCTTTCACACAAACACTCTCCCCTAAGGAGACACAAGAGAAAAACAGAAAAAGCCTCTTCTCCCTTGGTCCTTTCTGAGCCAGGTGGGCTTTTTCAAAAGCCTACACTTAAGGCCACACAGGAATGGTATGCCTCCCTCACCATGCCTCACTCAGCAGGGCCCAGCCAGGGGTCTGGGCCTGCCCCAGCTCTGCTAGCCCACCCAGCACTCACCTTCCCATAGACAAAGCAGTACAGCGTGATCCCAGTGGCCCATACATCCAAGGCCTATAAGGAAACACATTCATATCAGTCCCCCAAAAGAGTACCAATACCCCTGTCCACCCTGGGAGCTGAGAGAGATGCATGCAGGGAACCCGTCATCGTGTATTCACTCAACAAACACTCATAGGCTCCTGCTCCATGCTGGGCCCTGTGCTGAGTGCTAAGGACACAGTGAAGACCAGAACAGGGGTTCTGGAGTTGAGTCCCCTTGGGACAGGCTCAAACCAGAAATGGTTCCAACTCAACAGGTGCAACACCTCCTTCATCGACAGGTCACATTTGCTGCTCCCATTACAAAGACGCACCCCAGAAACAATGGTATATATTGATAGAACTTATACTCATCAATCCAGCTCTGGCTTCAAGGGGTCATCCTTTCTCCTAAGAATACATTGGAGAAACCACTATCTATCTTCTTCCTGAGACCAGAAGCAGCCCCTGCCCACACCAGGACCTGGCCTCCTGGGCCATCTCTATGATTCCTCAGATCTCCCAAGCAGTGGTCGGGCCTCCTGCACACCCTGGGTTCTAATTTGTGCTCCTTCCACACATTCCTCCTGTAGATCCCCACCTCTCCTCCTAGTGTCCGCTTTCCCTCTTATGTGAGTCATTCTCAAATCCCAAGCTTTCTGTTTGTCAAAGATGCATCATCTGAATCTAATCAGGGATCATCGACACATGCAGACAGACATTCTATAAAATAACAGGCCTGTTCTCTCTCTTTTTTTTTTTTAAAGTCAAGGTTGTGAAAGACACACACACACACACACACACACAAGCCAGAAATTTCTCCAGCTTCAAGGACACCAGAGATATGACAAGTGAATGATGCAATGAGTGGCCCTGGATTGGATCCTGGACCAGGAAAGAAAAAAGTTACATAAGAGATTACTGGGACAACTGACAAAATTTGAATAAGGCTATAGATGAGATGGTCTTTTTACCACTGTTAGTGATTTCCTGGTCTTGATTACTTACTTATTGAAGTAATGTGAGGGGATGTCCTTATTCTTTATTATTTAGTGACAAAGGGGTATAGTGTCTTTAACTTAACTCTTGAATAATTTGGAAAAATGTACTATGCACATGTATAGAGACAGACAAGGAAAAAGTAAGGGACAAACTGCCTATAATTGGTAAAATATATATGGGAGTTTTTGTACTACTCTTGCAACTTATCTGTAACTTTGAAATTATGCCCAAATAAAAAGTTAAAACAAAACTCTCTATCTACTTATCTGACTTCTCTACGAGCTCCAAACCCACACACATGTTCAGAAGTTTCTCAACCATTGCCTCTTTGGCAGGGCAGGTGGCAATACTGGGGGCAGTCAGCACTCCACAGTTAAGAACAGGCATGTGCTCACGGGAACATGCTACAATGTGCTCGGCCCCTACTCAGAAACCTTTACCTATCGCCTTTCACTTAGGAGAAACCCCAGACTTCCAGGCCCTGTACGCTCTGTCCCAATCTCACCATGCTTCCTGCCCCCGGGCCCCTCTGTTCTCTCAGATATTCTCTGGGTGCCACCTCCTGCTCAAATCTTCATGTTCTTCAAGGCTCAGTTGAAATGCTGCCGTGTCCAGTAAGTCTGGGGGAGCCCCCTACTTCCCCCTGAATATGAGATCACCTTCCCTCTTCTCCAAAATGGCAGGAAACAGAGCTAGTTTGACTGTCTATGCTATAGCCCAGGCCAGAAGGCGGCCCAGAGCAGCTGGCAGTAAATATCTGTAGGGGAAAATTAGAGGCCAAACCCAGGGATTTTGTCAGATTCTAAGGAAGAATGTGGAAGAGGAGACAGTGACCACAAGGTCTGAGACCACAAGGGCCCTGGCACCTTGGGCCAGAAGCTGAGTCCCCACTACTAGCTGTTCAGCCCCTCCACCTGAGCCCCAACCCGGCCCAGGCCCTGGGAGCCACCTTTCCACTGAAGCTCTGGCCAGAATCAGAAATGGCCTCGGGGGCCATGAACGCTGGGGTGCCGGCCGTGCTGGACAGCTGAGCATCATTCCCCTCAAACTGGTTGCTGACACCAAAGTCGGCGATCTTCACATGCCCATTGTCCCCCAGGAGCAGGTTGGACGGCTTGATGTCCCGGTGGATGATCTTCTGGCAGTGCACTGCAGAGAGAGGCAGCTGGAGCACTGGTCTGGCCGGCTGCTGCCCAGAACCTACCACTGCCCTCACCCAGCCAGGGAAGCCCACCTCAAACTCAGAGCTGGGACACCCCCAGCCCATGCACACCCAGGGGACTTCAGGGTCATCTGGGCCACTATGCAGATGAAGACACTGAGGCTTGGTTGTTAGGAGAGTCGAGTCTAGAATTTTTGGAGTCTTTGGACTCCAAGTCCAATGCATTCTTCATGGCAATGAAAACACCAGTAGCTGAGAGGGTTGGTCAGAAAAGATTGGCGCAGAGGTCCTATCTGCACAGGCCGTCTCTGCCCTTTCACAACCTGTGGAGAGGCCCTCCACTCCAATTTTCAGGCTCAAAACCTATCAAAAACGTTCTCCAGTTCTACCATCCACCCTAGGCTGGTCAGAGATGTCATGCTTCTGGGACTGAGGGTTGGGTTGTGGGGAACAGGGTATCCTACAGAGACACTGGATCATCCCCTAGGAACTCTGAGCTGATGGGGTTCCAGAGAAGGAGGGTAGCTAGCCTGGAGACTGTTGGGGTGAGCTGGCCTGGGGTAAGAGTTGGCCTTCTCTAGTAGCCTGGGAGCTTGTACTGCTTCCTGGGTTCCAGCACTGCTGGGATGGGACAGGAAGCTCAGGCCGAGATGGAGACACTGACCCCACCCCATAATCATCCACTTGTGGAAGGAAGAAGGAAGACAGAGGGGAGAGGAACAAGGCTGGGGGTTGGGGAAGTGATAGTATCATAAAACAACAACAACAAAACCAACCAGCCTTTAGTGACTGCCTCTTTTGAACCAGGCTCACACACAGCATTTCACACGCACCCGTCAGAGCTCAGAGGCTCAGAGGCTGTGTATTTGACCATGGAAATAGTTTCAAGTTATCTCAAACCCTGGCCTCCCCTATGAACTCCAGGCTCTTTATCCATTTGGATGTCCAACAGACATGTCCAAACACCCCCCCCCTTCCATACCTCTAGGCCCTTGCTAAGAACTTTATGCAAAGCCTTCCCCTCTCTGTGCCTCAATTTCCCCATATGTACAATGATCTGAGGCCATTGGTGAGGCTCAAGTGAGATAAAGACAGTCCTGGTTCCTGATACTGCAGGTCACATCTCAGCTGAGACTCCACCCTGTCCCACCAAGAGAGAATATGCTCATGACCAACCAAGCTAAGATTCTGGGCAGCAACCCCTTTCCCCAACCCAGGCCAGACCCCTAGATGTCTGGAGACCTGCCTCTCTAACCAGTACTGGCCAACCTACCTCCTTCAAGCCTCCTCCCACAACCACTGCCTTAATCCAGGCCTCACCATCTGTCCCTTGGGCTGTAAAAACAGCCTCCTCCCTGGCCAGCTGGCCACTCCTCCCCCTAGAGCCTGGATAGACACAGCTGTCAGATAGAGCTTTCTAAGACACAAATCCTGTCACATTCCTCCACTGCTCAAAGCTCTTAGGGCTTATACTCCTGATGAGATGGCATCCAAAGTCCTCTGTGGAGGCATCTCCAGTCCACACAGTGGAGCCTGGCCAGTGTTTCCAGCTTCCTCCTCCACTGTCCCCCTATGTTCTGCCCATTAGATGTTCCAACCAACCTGAACTTCTCCGTATCCTAAACAGTACGTGTCTTCCTCCCCTCTGTGCCTCTGCCAAGCAGCTCTCTCTGCCTGGAACATTCTCTCCCACCCCACCCCCCATACCTGCCTAGCTAACGCCTACTCATCCTTCACCACCCCAGTCAAAAGTGGCTTCCTTGGAGAGGCCTCCACTGGCCTCTGGGTGGCTTTGTCTGCCTTCTCGATACCCTAGCGGCCCCTGCACCTCCAGGCTTGGAAGGCACTACACTGTACTATCTGCCTGTCCCTCCTATTACACCATGAGATCCCTGAGGTCAGTCCTGGATCTCTTGACATTTCTGTATCCCAGTCCTGCACTTAATAAAAGCAATAACCCATTGCCATCAAGTCAGCTGCAACTCATGGCGATACCATGTGTTACACAGAACTGCTCCACAGGATTTTCTTGGTTGTGGTCTTTATAGAAGCAGACTGCCAGGTCTTTCTTCTGCAGCACAGTGGAGTGGGTTTGAACCACACACCTTTCAGTTAGCAGCCAAGTGCAAACATTGGTGCCACTCAGGGACCATTCAGCATCTAGTGGGTACTCAATAAATGTTGCTCAACCAATGAATAAATAAGGGAATATCAGAGAGAGGGGTTAAGCTAATACCCTCCCTCTTGAGTGCCCATCATCTTAGGGCCTCTACCAGGGCAGAGCCTTCTCTGAGCAGCTGTAACTAAATCCACGTCTCCTGAGGGCCCACGAAGAGCCTAAGCTTGCTAAAAACTCAAAGCAGAGTAAACAGAATACCCACTGCATGTTGCCGAAGACCACGTACCACGAAGAACCCAGAGCTCGCCCAGTGAAGTCAGCCACCACCCCTTCCCCTTCAGAAGGCTTTTGGCCCCGCCCATGTTCAATACCCCGCCCACTCGCTGAAGCTGATTGGCAGGCAGTCAGCACTGACTGACAGAAAGGGCTGAATGCTTGGTCAGTCTGGGCTCCGCCCTGCTCCCCCTTCCCCTACTCCAGAGGCAGCCCTTCGCTTACAGTACTCAAGGCCCAAGATGATGTCCCGCAGGTAGAGACGAGCTTGGTCCTCGGGGAAGGGCTTGTCGCAGGGCACTTCCATGACCGGCCTATGGGGAGGCATTTGGAGGAGGGAGTGTTGGACAGGAATCAGGATGAGTACAGCTCAGCTGATAACTGATGACGGGGAACAATAGGGGTAGCCCATTCAGACCCCATGGGACCTCCTAGGAACCCTCTATGCTCCAGCAAGCCCCTAGAATCCAAGATTTTAGCTGCTTCTGCCATAAAATAAATACTTGAAAACACATGGACACAAATGCCTTTTTTTTATCTTAATTTCTGATTGGCTTGGTATTCTTTCTTCTAAATACTTAATGATCTGTGATCAAACAATTGACAAAACGCCATTTACATTGTGGACCCAGTTCCAACAGAAGATCATGAAATCGATTTATGGGTGGCAACTGATTTTTTGTAACAAAACAGAATACATCAGAATGTATCACATGTAAACACAGTGTGGAGGAGCACAAGAGTTAAAGGCAACAAAGTAAGTACTATTACACCCCCAATCCTGCAACAGCAGTAATAACAATAACAATAATCTATAAGTGGAGACATAGATACTCAACCAGCTGAACAGATGTGGGAAGGCTAATGGGACTATACCTACGAATACATATAGATTTGACACAGGATATTTCTACATATGTATTTATATATGCTGCAAATATACCCATGAATATAGTATAGCATACAGGGGGCAAAGTTATGGAAACTTTTTAGCCATGACCAAACACTTTGAGGGAATGAGTCACTGGGCCTGGAGGTCAGACCATAGTCTTAGAGGATACCAAAGTCAACTGGCATAACATAAAGGCAATGTTCTACATCCTACTTTGGTGAGTAGTGACTGGGGTCTTAAAAGCTTGTGAGCAGCCATCTAAAGGGCAACTATTGGTGTCCCCCCAGTCGGAATAAAGAAGAGTAAAAAAAAATCAAAGCACAAGGAAACAATTAGTCCAAAGGGCGAATGGACCATGTGAACCCTAGTCTCCACCACCCTGAGACCAGAACTAGATGGTGCCTGGCTACCACTGACAACCATTCTGAAAGGAATCACAATAAGAGATCCTGGATAAAGTAGGAGAAGAATATGGAACAAAACTCAAAATAATTAAAAAAGAAAAAAAAAAAAAAGACCAAGTCTGATAGAGACCAGTGGAACCCCCAAGACTATGGCTCTTAGACACCCTTGAAACCTGTAACTGAACTCAACCCCAAGGCTCAGCTTTTAGCCAAATGACAGACCTGTAAAGCGAATACTAACACCAAGGAGGTACACACCATATGAGATCAAAGCGTAGCATCTGCCCAGAGATGAAGCTCAGAAGGCAGGACGGGATAGGAAAGAAGGACGAATGGAAACAGTGAACACGGGGAGAAAGTGGGAAGAGGGCTGCTTCGGTGCAGGGACTGCAATCAATGTCACAAAACAATGTGTATGACTGTTGAGTGGAAAACAAATTTGCTCCGTAAACTTTCACTCAAATCACAAATTTTTTTTTAATGTATTACATGTAATAAGGATATAGGATACACATTGGTTTGTAAAACTGGTTTCAGTTATAGATAAAGGAGGCAAGGCAAAAATTCTATTTCTTGTTATGAATGGAGGTCAAAAAAGTTTGAAAGCCCCTAAGTCTTAAAGGGATTGCACTCTTCCCTCCCCTACCCCCAAAATATCGGTCTTTAAGAAGCCCCACAGGCAGGGAGAAAAGCTTCAGTCTATATTCAAGACCTTGGCAGTTAGGCTACTGGTCCCCCTAACCCTGTGCCCTCTATTCCATGTCAACTGCTCTGTAAATGCCTGAGAAGGACAGGAGTGAGAGCCTTAGTTTCCAACAGTGACTGACTGTCTGTGTGACTTTGGGAAGAAAGATGAGCAAAGCCCTGGGGACTGGAGCCAGGAGCCCTGGTTCTGGCATAAAAAAGCTCTCTGAAATCGGGAGATTGTTGATCCTTAGTTTCCCCACTCAAAAATGGGAGAGAATAGCACCCCATGCATCCAACTCATGAGCTTGTTGTAAAGATCAAAGAACCCTTTGTGATCTGAGTACAGGTAAGAAATGTGAGTATCATCTCCACACTTTTGTTTAAGAAATAGTATTTCTTTCCCTTCTCCTCCATCCAAATCTTTTTTGCAGTTCTTTAAGGACTACCTCAAGATATACTTCCTGCTGGAAAATGAATTTGCTCTGTAAAGTTTTACCCAACTCACAATAAAAATTAAAAACAAACAAACAAACATACACTTCTTCTTCCAGAGGTCCCCCTAACTATTCCAGCCCCATTGACTCCAGCCTTCAAAGAATAATCCTTTTGGTCTCTCATTTTCCCCCAGACTGGAGGTCCCCAAGGGCAAAGGCTGGTCTCTGTTTCCTCTTAGAGCAGCTGACCCTAGAACTAGGGACACAGGGAGGGAGAGGAAGGCCTAGACTCAGACTTGATCCACCTGATCAGGACAGGAACTCACCCCTTTCTCAGAAGGTCAAACACTGAAAGAAAAGAAATGAAGGTAAGTTACGAGCAGACCGGCAAAGCAGCCAGTTCTACAGGGTAGGAGGGGAAGCAGGCATGGAGCCACACTTGAGGATGAGACAGCACAGGGGTCCCAGGACATCAAAGGAAGTAAACGGACCGGCCTCTTCTGATCCTCAGGTGACAGGTGAGGACCAGCAGCATGGGCCCCTTTTATAAGAGGGGAAACTGAGGCTCAGGGCAGGGACAGAAATTTTCCTAAAGGTCTTAGCAGGCTGGCAGGTTGGAGATGGAGTGGAGACTAAAGCCTTGGCCTCTAATTACTAAACTAAGGCTCCTTCTGCCCTATTTCCTGGGGCCTCCTTTGAGCCCAGCTCTAAGCAGGGCCCAGAAACTTAAATAATAGCATTGATAAAAATAAAAATGAATATGCTTTACATAACTCATTCACTCCCCACATTAAGCCTGTGAGGCACGCATCAGTATGCCCATTTTATAGCAAAAAACACTGAGACACAGGGATATCAGACAGGTCTGGGAATCCACACCACATAGCCCACTTCCTGCAGAGGATTCTCCCTGGGTACAGAGCCCAGATCTGACCCACCATCTCTCTGATCACTGCCAACCTAGCAGGGAGTAGGGCTTGGGAATATCTGTTGAATCTAACTGAGTATCTGATCCTAGTTTAGGTGGGGCTGGGCAGGAGAATGCAGGGCTCGAGCAGCACATGTGTTTTATATCTGCCCCCTGGGAGGTCAATCTGTTCACCCCACCCACCTAAAGTGTGTCCCAGGAGCCCTAAGACCAGCCCTGGGTGAGCTGCTGTGGGAATGTGCTGGACCACTCACCCAAATAGAGATTGTCCTCAGCTGGGTCATCCAGGACCTGGTCAGAGAGGAGCAGACATGGGGGTGGGGCTTGAGGAGGCATGGGGTAGCGATGTCTTTGCCAGCCCTGGAAACCCTAGGTTGTTCCTGCAGCCACCCTGGACAATGAGCAGGAACTGCACTGGCACCACACAGATGGGACTTCAGAAATCAAGCCTGGCCTTCTCTGCAGCATCCAGACCTTCTCCCCTTCTGCCATGATGGGGAGCTTACTTCCTGCCTATGGGGCAGCACCTCATTCTCAATGAGAGCTTGGGAACACTCCTGGCTAGCCTGAACTGATCCCTGAAGACTCCCTGAAGCCCCCACCTCCAGTCTGGCCATCCCCTTGGAGGCCTTAACCACATCTGCTCCCTCAACAGGATCCTGGGCCTATGCTGAGCACCCCTTCCCCGACCCTACACCCAGAGGCTGCTTCCACAGGACACAGGCACTTGTTCCCATCCACTCAGTACCACATCCTACCTCGATCAATTTGACCACATTCATATGGTCCAGCTTCTTCAGAATGGCAATCTCCTGGTACACCCTCTCCAGGGGCAGCAGCTGCTTGGCGGGTCCCCCCAGTGAAGCCTGTGACCCTCTTGGGGGAGGGCGACCTGCAACCAGGATGAGGAGTCAAGCCCCTGTTCCAGGAGGCCGGGCCTCACCATGGGCCTACAACCAGCCTCAAGCAAGAATCTTGCAGAAGAGTGGTCTTGTCCCCAACCCAACACATTCCCACTTCCAGGCTGTCCCACTCAGTTTGTTCATGCTGTCCCACTCAATCACTAGTCTTAACAAAAACTAGGTAGGACCTAGGCTTCCTCCTCCTTTGCCCCTACCCGCAGGCTAGGAGCTCCCAAGGACAGGACCAGATAGATAGATCAAGTAGATACATACGTGGAAAGCCATATTGCTTCAGTAACTTCTTTTTGGAAAGAACTTTCATTGCCTGAGGGGTGGAGGGGACAGAAATGTCATCTGTGTGTAGCCACCAGGGTCTAGGCCAGGCTGGCTACATGTGGACTGAGATCCAGAAAGATCCATAGGGTACTTGCCACTGGCACTGAGGGAAACTCTGGAAGTGACCCAAGTGTGCATTAAACTGGGTGAAGAGATGGCCATACCTCAATCCAGGTCTTACTCCTATTCCCCCAATAAGCCTTTCCAGAGTTTTCCCCGCAGAGCCCAGACTCTGCTAACATACCCCCAGAGACTGAAATCTCACTACCTTTGCACACCCCTAGAGACAGGGAGCTCACTCCCATCAGAAGAAGCCCTGTCCTCTGTTTTCCAGGCACAGAGTTTTGCTACACCCTCAACCCTCAGCTTCTAGGGCCCCACTGGGACAACACCTCCCTCCCATGCCCAGACTCACATAGTGTCTGTCTTCACTCTCGTTGTAAGCCAGCCTCACCACGCCATAGGCACCCTGCAGATAGGCACTGGTCAGCCCTGCCTGGACAGGACAACTTCCCCTGGGACTAGCTCAGAAAATCAGGAGCCTGAACTGCTCTGGCCCCTCTTCCCCTATCCTGGCCACCAGCTGGCTCAGGGGCATGCAGTTCAGGCAGATGAAGAGGGGGTTTCTGTGCAACGGCCTCTGTCCCTGCTGGGCTCCACACAGTTCCATGCCTCCTCTGCCCCTCCTGTCTCCCATCAAGAGCTCTGGGGTGCCAGGAATCAGGAGTTACCTCCCCGCTTCTCCCATTGGTTCTCTACAGAGAACAAAATTATCTGCATGTCCAGAATGAGGCTCTCCTGGCCCTACCTCACATTCCCACCAGGAGAGAAGGTATATTGCAAAGCCAAGGATTCTGCAGCCTGCCTCCATGAAGTGCCAGGAGAAGCCCTCACTGCCCTGGCCTGCCCCAGTCCTACCTTGCCAATCTCACTCTGCAGCTTGTACTGGTTCAGTTGCACACAATCCTGGGAGAAAAAGAGAAGCATCAGGTGCAGCTTGATTCAGAAGTGGCATGGCCCCCACCGCAGAAACCTGTTCTGACCCAATCCTGGCTCCCCATTCCCAGACCTCAGCAACCTTTCAAGTCTGGATGGGGAAACTTGGTGCAAAACCACTGTAAGTGACAAGAAGCCCTGGATAATGTTTGAAAATATGAATGGTGACCAAGGCCATGCTTTGTCCCCTGGGAAGTGGTAAGAGAAATGCACTGACTTCTATTGGACACAGGTCTGTGAGACCCCAATCTGTAAAGCACCTCAGTATTTCCAGAAGCAGCTGAATGGGGAGGTCTGCATTGCATGGACAAGAAAGATGAGCAAAGCCCTGGGGGCTGGGGGCTGGGGGCTGGAGCCAGGAGCCCGGGTTCTGGCATAAAAAGCTCTCTGAAATCTGGAGATGGCTGAGGACCTGGGGGCACTTTCAGATCTGGGTGGCAATGGTAGGGCCAGCAGGAGCTAGAAGCTGGAAACATGCAGGCATGAGGGCAGTTCTGAGTCAGGACAGGTCGAGGTGGCAGGATTAAAGGTGACAGGCTCAGCCTGGTGTCAAGGGATAGCATCATTTATCTCCAAGTTTCTAAGGGAACTTCACGCGGGCAACAGAGGGGCCTGATTTCTAGGCGTGGGGAAGGGTAGGAGTGGTGGGAGTTATAGAAGTCAGTCATTGGCTCAGATGGATCTGCCTTGGGTGGGAGGCCATACTATCAGGTAGCAAGCTCCTCAGCCCCACAGAAGTGCAAAACAAGGCTAGATGGATGCCTAGCAGGGATGGGAGCAGAAACGGGTCTTCACTGAGGCCAGCTAAGGAGCTTGTGAGCAACCCCCAGCCCTGCCCCACCAACCTCTGCATCTGAGATGGCCACGTGGTGGGACTCGATGGTAGGCCTCCGCCAGGCCCTCGGGGAGATGTGGCTGGAGGGCCCTGTGGCATAAGGCCCAGCCTGGGCCTCGAGGCAGCTCCCTGCTGGCCGCTCCTGCAGGGAGAACTTCCGAGCTGAGAGGGTGGGCCGGGCTGGAGGGGGTCTCAGAGCTGCGCCCGGAATCACAGAGGCAGCCCTGGCCCGTGGCGGAGGGTCCACACCATTCCTGGCAGGCTCAGGGACACCCTTCACCTCCTCCAAGTGGGCCACATCGATAGCTGCCACCCGCTCCACCAGCTCTGACCTAGGGTCCTGGCAGCAAACGGCTGGGCCCCCTTCCATTGCCTCAGGCAAGACAATCGTCTGCACAGCCTGGTAGGGAACCTGAGAAGAGAAGGCAGAGAAGGCTTTGCTCCTGGATGCCGGGTTGGCCAGAAGGTCGGAGTCCAGGTCCTTCACCCCATAGCCACACCCTGTGGGGCTCACCTCCATGCCCTTCCTGGCTGTCCCCTCTGCCTGGGTTGCCAATATCCATACTTAGATATCTAGTGCTACTATAACAGAAATATAAGTGGATGGCTTTAACAAATTTATTTTCTCACAGTTTAGGAGGCTAGAAGTCAGAAGTAAGAGTGCTGGCTCTAGGGGAAGGTTTGTCTCTGTCAGCTCGGATGGAAGGTATTTATCTCTTCAGCTACTGCTTCCTGGTTCGTCACCCCATCTCTCCCTCTGCTCCATTCGATTCTTTAATCATCTCTTTATATCTCAAAAGAGATTGACACAAGATACACCCCACACTAATCCTGCCCCATTAACATAACAAAGAGCCATTTCCCAATGGGATTATAACCACAGGCATATTGTTGTTTGTCGCCACTCATGGCAACCCTATACACAACAGAACAAAACACTGCCTGGTCGTGTAACATCCTCACACCTCACAATCAATGCCATGCTTGAGCCCAGCGTTGCAGCCATTGTGTCAATCCACCTCCTTGAGAGTCTTCCTCTTTTTCACTGACCCTCTTCTTTACCAAGTCTTTCTCCAGGGACTGGTCCCTCCTAATAACTGGCCCAAAGTATATGAAGTAAAACTCTCACCATCCTGGCTGTACTTCTTCCAAGACAGATTTTTCATTCTTCTGGTGTTCATGGAATGTATATTAAATATTCCTCACAAACACAGTAATTCAAAGGCATCAATTCTTCTTCAGTCTTTCTTATTCATCGTCCAGCTTTCACATGTACATGAGGTGACAGAAAATATCACGGCTTGGGTTGGGTGCATCTTAAGTCCTCAAAGTGACATCTTTGCCTTTTAACACTTTAAAGAGGTCTTTTGCAGCAGATTTCCCCAATGCAATGCATCATTTCGTTTCTTGACTGCTGCTTCTATGGGTGTTGATTGTGGATCCAAGTAAAATTAAATCTTTGACAATTTCAAACTTTTCTCCATTTATTGTGATGTTTCTCTTTGGTCCAATTGTGAGGATTTTTTTTTTTTTTTAATGTTAAAGTGTAATCTATACTGAAAGCATTTGATCTTCATCAGTAAGTGCTTCAAGTCTTCCTCACTTTCAGCAAGCAAGGTTGTATCACCTGCAAGTATTTATTAGGATGAAAGGAAAGACAATATACCAAATCGAGTGACCAACACAATAATGCTAAGGAAAGGGAAGACACAGAGAGGTGCGCAGGAGTACAGACAACAAAGATAAACACTTTTACATACACAACACCATGTTATTAGTGATGATAAACATTAATCCACGGGTAAACAGATAGGCAGACAGGCTGAATGATCAGGTATGTCTAGGCAAAAGGGAATATGAATTTCTAGCAGTTCTCAGTCAATATAATGCTGCCACCATTTTTCAATGATCTTCAGCAAAATTTTACTTGTGTGTGATACTAAGAATAGTTGATAATTTCCACATTCTGATGGATCACCTTTCTTTGGAATGGGATCTCTTCCAGTCAGTTGGCCAAGTAGCTGTCTTCCAAATTTCTTGGCATAGACAAGTGAGTGCTTCCAGCATTGCATCCATTTCTTTAATCATCTCAATAGGTATTCCACTGATTCCTGTTTTGATTTTCACTAATTCCTTCAGTGCAGCTTGGACTTCTTCCTTCAGTACTGTTGGTTCTTGAGTTCTTGATCATATGTTATCTCCTGAAATGGTGGGAAATCTACCAATCCTTTTTTGGTACAGTGATTCTGTGTATTCCTTCCACTTTACCTTGATGCTTCCTGAGTTGTTCAATATTTTGTCCTCAGTGTTGCAGCTCAAGGCTTGACTTTTTCTTTCAGTTCTTTCAGCTTGTGAAATGCCAAGTATGTTCTTCCCTTTTGGTTTTCTAACTCTGGTCTTTGCATATTTCATTATCATACTTTACTTTGTTTTCTTGAGCTGCCCTTTGAATTCTTCTGTTCAGCCCTTTTACTTCAGGCATAGAGGTTAGGATTTACAACACATACTCTGGGAGACACAATTCAGTCCATAACACAGACTCAGGTTTGTCCCCTACTAAATGACGGAATTCCAGGAGGTCATCTGGCTCTGCTATACGCCAGCCCTCTGGACTTCAGTGTCTCCATAGAACCGGCACTTTTGCCTTGCTGCCATCACAGGGAAGCTGGGAGAATCCGATACTCCCAAGTCAGGACAGACAGACAAAGGCAGAACACAGAAGGCCCAGCACCACTGGGAGGGACAAAGTCCAGGGTTTGCCCAGGCCCCTGCCCTACATGTAGCACAGTGACTCACCATCTCCAACCTTGGACAGCAAAGCATACCAACACTGCCCCACAGCAGCTGAGCTGGGCACAGGCACTTCATGGTCTCCCTGATGTTCCAGCCCCACTCACCCCTCTCACTGCTTCCAACAAGATCTCCCTGATGCTGCATCCTCTCGCACTCCTTCTCACCTCCCCCAGAAAATCCTCCCTGATCCTCCAGCTTCACACATATCCTCCAGAAAGGTCTCCTTGATGACCTAGCCTCTCTCACTCCCTCTCACCTCCTCTAAGGAGGCATCTCTAATCCTCCAGCCTCTCTCACTCTGCCTCGCCTCTTCCAAGGAGACCTCCTTGATGCTTCAGCCTTTCTCACTTGCTCTCCCTCCTTCAGGGAAACCTCTCCAGGGACACAGGGTGAGGATGCCATCACTTCTTTCCTTGCCCCAGCAAAGCTTCCAGTCCAGAACAGGGTCCATTAGAGGAGAGAACAGCTGCTTTGGTGGCTGTCAAGTGAGACTTCACTGAACTAAGAAGTCGTTCTTTATTTCTCCTAGTTTTTCATTTCAGCTTATTCAAGTGACCAAAATATTTGTCTTAATGTGCTGATGCTGGGATGCTTCCTCTAGCCTGGCCTCACACCCATCCAGGCCCCAAACCAGGCCCCAGGTCAAGGACTAACCTCAGACTCCAGCCTTAGTCCTCACCTTCAACCACAAACCTGGACTAAATCTTGGTCCCAAGATGAACCCTGACACTCAGATTGAGACCCTACCTCCACCCTAGGCCAAGCACTGGCCCCTCCGGCCTGACACCCCTCCCCCATTCTGGGCCAGACTAGGAATCTTCTCAGAAAAAAGGAAGCAAGTGCAGATCCTGACCCTCTGCACTTCCTGACTGATGGTAACTTCCTCTGTCCCCACATAGCAACTTTGAACATCAGTCTCTTGCCTCCGCTCCACCCCTCACACTCTCTTCATCTTGCTTTGACAGATATCAGGAGGCTGAACTTGCTGCTCTGTCTGCCAATCTGCTGTGGGACCCTGAGTAAGCTCCTTCCTAGCTCTGAGCCTCAGCCTCTCCATCTGTACTGCAGATGCGTTACCTCCTCCAACTCCCCTAGGGCCACAGCAAGGCTCAGAGATGGAGTGTGGGTAAGGGTGCAGTCTAGACCCTCTGTGTCTGGCACAGTGTTGAATGAGTGGAAATGTGGAGATAGTGACACTGATCTTGACATGCAGAAAGGAAGACAGAGAGGATGCATCCTGGCAGTGGGGAGAGACATGGAGGCTGGACCTAGAGAAGTGAGAGCTGGAGCACCAGGGAGGCCTCTCAGGAGGAGGTGGGGGGACAGGGGTGGCCAATGAGTCTAGAGTATTAAGGAGACCTCCCTGGAGGTAAGAGGGGTGAGAATGTGCATCTGGGAGACCACTCTAGAGGAGGTGACAAGGGGTGTGAGTAGGGCGGGAGCATAAGGGAGGTCTGGGGACCAGATGGCCTGCAGGAAGGAGGAAGCTAAAGTTCAGAAAAGCCTGGCCCTCCTATCTCTCTCCTCCTCATAAGGAGCTCATCCTTCTGTCCCTCCCTGTCACTCTTGAGGCCCCAGGTGTGGCTGTCTGTTTCTCCCAGCAGAATGTAAACTCCAGGAGATTAGGGATCATGTCTGGTCTTCAGCAGTGCCTGGCACACAGCTGATAGTGGCCTTTCAGTTGGTTCCCAACTTGTGGCGACCCCATGCATGGCGTGAAATGCTGCCCAGTCTTATACCATGCCTATGACTATCATCCCCATGCTCAGTTCTGGATCAGACCACTGTGATCCAGAGGGTTTTAGTTGACTGATTTGAGAAAACAGACTGTCAGGCCTTTCTTCCTGGTCTTAGTCTGGAAGCTCCACTCAGCATCATAGCAACACGCAAGCCTCCACTGCCAGAGCAATGGTGGCTGTGCGTGAGGTGCACTGGCTGGGAATCAAACCTGGGTCTCATACATGGAAGGCAAGGATTCTACCACTGAACTACCATCGCCCTGTGGCACATAGCAAGAGTCCAACCAGTATCTGTTGAATGAATGAATGGTTGTCATAGTGATCACATTAGATTGATAGCAAAGCAGGCTCAGAAAGGAGACCCCAACAAGCCTCAGGCCCCACCCCAAGTCAGAGAATGAACATTAGTGCCCGAAGTTCCTGCTGTTTGGTTTCAGGTCTCACCAGGCTGCAGGTGAGAGACTGGGAGGAACCACAGAGAGCCACAACAGGCAGAGGCCACAGGCTACTGTACTGGCCTATAAAATTTGCATATCTGCATATCATTTCCCTGATGTGGTTATCACAGAAAGAGGAGGGCGTGGCATCCTCCTTTACCTCCCTTCCCTCATCTTCTTAGGTGGGGAAACTGAGACCCAGCAACGGGCAGGGACAGGCCTGGGGTCCAGCCCCGGGTCCTGTTACCTGGGTTAGCAACCAGGCTCTGAAGCCAGGCTGCCAGGGTTCAAGTCCAGGCTCCTCCCTTTCCTGGCTCTGGGCCAGGGGGCTGACAGCTTCACCACTGCACCTGGGTATTTCCTTGTCTACAACATAGGGCTGAGGGTAGGTCTCACCCACC